AATATTCGTAACCCTATAAGGAATAAAAAAAATTAAAAATTTTAGTACCAGTATTGTATTTATTTCAAGAGACAATCAAATATGTACCTTATGAGCACCAATTGAATATTGTTTAAAAGTAGTTGATAAAGATATTGGAGGAATAATAGCACCAGTGTATGGATCAGGGTCTTGTCCTATGTGAATAGCCCTTATGCCAAATCCTCATTATGCAAGAGATGATTCACAATGAATACCATTCAGCTCATTATGACTGTTTGTAAGCGATTCATTAAAAATTTGGCCATTGCTTTGAATTCCATTCGATTCGCGATGACCATTTATAAATGATTCATTTGGAATCTCTCTATCATTATGAATACTATCATCTAGCTCATTATAACTATTTGCAAATGATCCATTAAATATTTCGGCATCATCATGAATGCCATTCAGTTCATGATAACCGTTTGTAAATGATCTGTTGAGAATTGCATCTTTATTAACAAGGTTTGGTGTCATTTTTATTAATGATGATCAGTTTTTTTTTGTTTATGGTTAATTTTTTATAGGGATCTGAATAAGTATAGTAAATTACTATAAAAAGATTCGGTTTTGCTAGTTATCTTGCAAGTCAGAAGTAACGTTCGATTAATATTTATACTTTTCATGTCAATTTTGATTATTAATGAATCGATTTTGTTATTTATTATTAAACAACTACAAAAGAATGATACAAAACAGCTTGGAGCATGATCGAGAAATACAGTTTGTCATACATACGCACATCAATTAAAATAATGATGATACCTTACCTTTATAAATCTTACACAAAAATAAAAACTCACTTTAAACCTGTATCTTTTTATATTGTATCAACATGATTTTAATAAGTTGATATGCATATGATATATTTGGGCCCTTATTTGTAATAATTTTCAAATATCTTAAATTCTCCAAAAAATCGTCGCCAATCAAATTTAAACTAATTTCAGGTACGTACGTATGTATGTTCATTTTACGTATGAGCCACATAATTGACACAAGCAAATATCGTAAATTCTCTCAAAAAAATCATCATCAATCAAATTTAAACCAATTTCAGGTACGTATGTATGTATGTTCATTGTGCATAATTGACAAACAAATATTTTCATTCATTATTTGTCAAAGTCTTAGAAATTCAGACTTTGTTAAAACTTCGCCATTAGTTTGCCTTTTGCTGGGGTTTTGACTTTCACTAGAGGTTCATTTTTTGTCTTTCATCAAGGTTTCATTTTTCATCAAGGGTATAATCTTTCATCAAGGGTATAATCTTTTGTCAAGAGTTTCGTTTTTCGTCAAGGGTTTCGTCTTTCATCAGAGGTTCATCACCGAACCGACAGCCCATCTTTCCAACAGTTCATTGACAATTTTATGTGGGTTGTTCAATAAGTTTTGACAAAATAACAAAGTACTTCTTAAAAAAATGAAAACAACCATAATAAAGTAAAAATAAAACTATATAGAAGGTTTCATTAGAGTAGTAGAACAAAAATAAAATCTAATTCTTGCCCGTTTAAAAAAATTAGCTTAGTAATAATTTGATCTTATCGGGTTTTGAGAAGTTATTACTATATTAACTTTTTTAGATAGAAGAGGATTAGATCTTATTTTTGGTCATGAAGTCCTACAGCTCTAATGAAACATTCTATACAGATTTTTTTTTATTTCATTATGATTATGTATCGTTTTTTTAAAAAATTACTCTGACTGTATAAATAGTGTAAAATTAAATTGAATATTAGCCAGTTAGACAAACTTTTGTCTATGACTGACTGCTATATGGTTGGTTATAGAGACTGGATTCGAGTCGACTTGTAGCTTAAAAAACATAGCCTTAACTCGAATTAACTCGAGTCAAGACTATGTTTTTTAAGCTATGAGTTGACTTGAGTCCAGTCTCTAGTTGGTTAGCTATCATCACCCAGGTAGGGATTGGAACCGTTTAACCGTTTAAAAATTGCTCCATAGTTCCAGGCAGAATTATGTTGGTCGTGGACCAGAATTATTTTAATGCTGGCAAAATTAAATGACAGTGTTTAAAATACCAATCTAAAAAATTTTGATAGCCAATCAGATTTCGAGATCAGGTGTAATGTAAAAGAAGTACAAAAAAATCAAAATAACAAGAAAACACTTATATCTTAAAATTTTGCTTATGAAGTGCCTCCTGCATACTAACAAAAATTTTTCCTTAGGAAATTTTACTATAACTAGAACCTTTAAACCAAATACTAATTTACTGGTAGGACCCTAACTCTAAACTAATTGCGA